GCAGTTCGAACAAAAATAGTGGTAGCAGTAATAGGAGGAGGAGGAGAAGGAGGAGTACACACAGTTGACTTCGCAAAGTCTGATGAACTGATTAAGTTGTGTTATTACTTTGGGGGGATAGGATTATTTTAGATCACGAAGTAAACCCTTTTTATCATTCAGACACAGATCACGGGTGAACATGTTTTCCGTTAGCTCATTCTCAGGTCACTACAACCATACACATNATTGGACCCCGCCACACCAACCTATCGTTAATTTTTTACACAAATTTGCTTCTGTCGGTTTGAGAAGGAACTCATCGCGAACATATGTTACCGTTACTGTTTTACAAACAACAGATTGTATGCACTTTACCAAGTCCATAGGCAGCTTTATATCGATGGTGATTCTCTCTTAACATTGGACTATACCGACTTTTACTCAACAAAAAGCATGCAAAATATATTCAGTAGGATTATTAGCTCTTTAAAATGATTTCCGAATAACAACATTTTCGACATCTATCTAGAGTTTGCTGATTGTTTTAAGTTTATCCCTCGTTTTAGAAATCAGTCATCGGTCATATATTTTTGCTTTTGCTGATAAATTTTAGTATTTGCTACTGGGTACTGATATCATTTTTAAAGCACATCCAAACAACAATGGTTCAATTTTTCCTGGTTATACACTGAAGTCACCAAAGGAGAGTGGACACAGTGTGACGTTTGGTCTCTTAAACTGCTCTTGACCAGCTTGGGCAGTCTATCACAAAGGCTGAGGATTAATTAGTCCACTAACTAGATTGGTGAAGTAAGAACCCCAGTCAAACTCTCATTAGGGCTTGACATGCCGTCCAATGTGTCAAACTGTTGACTGTAAGTACTCGAATGNTGATACACTAATTATCTGTGCCAAACTCCCCTCCCCTGAAAATATCAACGTTCCACAACGAAGCGGAATCGGGTTGTTGGGGCACGCATACGTACCACTCCGTAAACAGATCGGTATCGGGGCAAATAAAAATGACTGGAAGCTAAAATCCAAGACTGAAAACTTAGTAACCATGGTAAATAACCGAGGAATTTTCCCTAATATATCAATTCCTGTGGCCTGGATAACTGAGTTACAATCAGGCTAAACAATAATCCAATGACGCGTTTCAATTAGTATAAGATCGATTGAAATGGTGACTCGTAACATAAAGCTAAATGTTTCTCACCCAACCTGCTTTCGTGGTGCCTGTCGACAAAAGCTTTATCTCTCGCTCCTAGCAGAGTATTTCTTGTTTTATGTTCCCAATACCCCTTGATTGCACTTTCACTCGGTTCAATCATTGAACTTAGTCGGGTTTTGAGCACCTACTCAGTACGGTTTAGTTAAAACAGAATCAGGCTCTCCCATCATCACTGCACTTCAGTATGTGGAATGCGTATCAGAGATATAGGTTATCTGATGACTAAAGCGATTTACGAGCCTCAGGTGGAGCACGAGTGAAACATTTAACCTCACAAACATCCCAAATTTTGGGAAGGCAGTTGGGTCAATGACTCATAAACCCCAGGAGTATTGGAAACGGATGAGTGGTTGAATATTAGCGTATCCTCCCTCTGCCTGGGTATCCAGTATAGCGAAACCGAACACGGTGACTCATGACCCCGTTGGTAACGCATTTTGTAACAAACAACCCGTGCTTGTAGCTCTCAGGGCAAAACAACTCTGGCTTTGCTTGTTTTCAGGATTCTTGATCTATTCATACTCCCTTAACATAAACTCATGTTTCAACATGCTAAGAGATTTGTAAATATGCGGTCGTGAGTTGAGTTGGTTTACGTTATTCTCTAAACTTCCTACAAAGTTCCATTTCTTAATTTGAGTTTATTGATTCCTCGCATCGATTGTTTATTTCGATTTGTAACTGCTTTGTTGTAGTGTGTACGGTTTCATCACTTGCACGCCTTTTATGCACGATTTATCTTAGTTACCAACCTATGAACATCTCGTCTAAATACTGGGTGATAAATTACGCTAGTTGTCATTCCAAATGACCGATTTCGTGACACACAAGAAATATGAGGATGTCTTGCTTGCCAAAACCATTAATGCATCACGCTACTCACATTATCTTCTTGATCTATGGATCTATGGAAAGCGAAAAAGCTTCATATCGCAAATCTATGAGAACCTCATTGTTCGTCCAATTCTTATCGCTTCTCTTTCGTTCCCCTCACTCAGACATTGCCGAAAAATAAATGGCTGTTAACGTGAACAACGTTTATTGGTTACTGGATACCCAGGGATATGGAAGACGGACTACAGTCCACCTTCATATATAAAAGCGCATAAAAAGAAGCATATGGCTGCTCCTACCTTGCATATGTGTATACCCAGATTCTTTTGCCACATTATAAACGATTGATCCGCGGAAAGACACCAGGCTAGCGTGTTCCCTGAGATGCTGTTTAGACATGACACTTACACAAACTTCTTACTCCGATGTCCGGTATCAAGTATTTCATTCTACCCACCCTTTCGTTATCGAGCATAGTTTCATATGCATATTCGATAACCGGTAACGGATACACGTCACATGGAGAGAATATTATTCATGCCAGTCCAATGGTAAACAGTCTGTTGAAAAATGAGTAGAATCATCAACCGAGATTAACTTAAGTCCCAAAGCTTCATGAGTATGATGGGAATACAATAAAGGAAGATAGTTTTTCGTTGCGC